ATTCCACCCTCGTCCAACATTTCGCACACGTCGGTTACGGTTTTCTTTGCATCAAGACTAGCCTTGCAACTGTGAATCAAATCGTCCATATAGAGGTCCTTGTCTAGAGCTTCACAGGCCTTTGGTTTGTTTGTTCCATAGTCTTTAATAATTCGCTTGATGGCGTAACTTGCTAAAAACGGCGAGGCGGGATTTCCAAAGATGATACAATTAAACTGGTAAGTATCTGGTAATTGGTCTTCGTTCGTTCGCCAAAGAAATCTGTGATACTTGCAGTCGTCAGGGAAAAGCAGAACTCTTGGAACATCTTTGAGATATCTCCTGCGATGCCGATTTTGAAACGTCGGAAACGTAATAATATGCCCGTCAGGTCATTCAATAAACACGGTCCCTTTTCGACCAAGTCATTGAGCGAGATTCCATCATTTTTGGCGGAAGAGTCAAATACGATCCTTAACTTGGTATTCTTGTCTTCGGAAATAACTGGGTGATGCGGAAGGTACCAACCCGTATCAGAGGGCTTCTCGGGTAACTTTTCCAAATAACCATCGGCCACGTAATCTTCAATAACTTTGCCGTATTTTTCCTTTAGAGACGGTTGTTTTCTCATTCTTCGTTCGATTGATTCTAGCCTCTGTAACGCTACATCATAGGAATCGGGAATCTGCTTCGTACTATCTTTCCACGGAAGCTTGACTTGATACCGCCCGTTCACCCGACAAATTGTTCGTTCCGTTTCTTCAAGAATCTTTTTCTCTTTATTAGTGTATAAGGATGGCTCTTTTACTGGCATTTGTTCGATCTCCCAGAAACGTTTGAGATTTAAATCATCCACTGAAGTCGTCGGCGGTGAACAGGATGAAATGAGATGTGTTGATGGATCTTCTCCGACTCTTTCGTCAACAGGTCCACAGATGCTCCAACCTAACACAGTTCGTACGGCGTAAGGTTCGTCAGGCTTTCCATAACGAGTTTCCAACTGCCGCAGAAGGATAGAATAATCTTGACCAACTAACAAATCAACGCTTTCTGTGTCCACAATCACGTCGACGTCTTGCAGATAAGGAAATTTTTGCTTGATTTCTTCAATATCAAAGGGGGGTGAATAATTGCTAATTTTTGGAATAGCATACGCGGTCATTGGGATAGACAGTTCATTGTCTTTGGCTTGTATGAGAAATGAAACTTCAGAATTGAGTTTGATGTTTTGATCCCCAACCCCCGAGAGTGTCAATCGATTGCTTCTTCTCGTTGTCAACCCAAGGCTTTCGACCAGACGATGAGTTATCAATGTCACCTGGCTCCCGCTGTCATCCAAGCAATTTATCGTAACTCGTTGACCATAACCATTTAGGATATCGATCTTCTTTACAGGAAGGGCCACAATTTTCCTTTTTAGACAACTCCGATTAGCGTTCGACGTAACCGACAAGGTTTCCTTCGTTGGTGTCTCTTCATTTCTTACAAGTTGTTCACCACCTGACGTCTCGCTGCTTTTCCTCTCAACATTGTGAGGAGATATTGCAGGATTTTTAGAGTTTTCTTGGTGCAATAAGGTGTGATGTGTTCCCTTACAGTTTTCTATAAGGCATCCCACTTTTCTTCTACATTTCGCCACGAGATGTCCTCGAAGCAAGCATTTGAAACAGGCTCCATTCTGTTTCACTAACTGTTTTCTTTCATATACCGTCATTTTCTTCAAGACCAAACACTGACCCGGCCAGTGGTTACCATCACGACAAACCCAACACTTTCCTCTTTCAATCGGTAATTTCGTTTCTGTTCTTTCAGTTTGGGTGACTTCATCTCGCGTTGTAACATGCACGTGGGGTTTGAAGACTTGCTTTCCTGGAACTCGTTTATCTCCAGCCTCGGTTTGTGGTTGAACTTCAATTTTTTCTAGGATTTGAACTTTTTTTCGTAACCACTCAGCAAAGGCGCGCATATCCGATCCGATGCCTTTGTCGTCTTGGTACGTTGCCCAGGCAACCGCAAGATTACGTGGTAACTTGGTTGATAGCAATTTCATTCTTCTTGGGTCATTCAGATGCATAGCTACATCAGGTCCCATATTTTCTAACACTTGTATATTAGTGTTCAAATCGTCGTAGAACTTTCGAAGACCCGGTACATCTGAAATCTTTATCTTCGGCAAGTTTTCCACGGCTCCAAGATAAAAACTTGCTTGGTCTTCTTCATCACCGAACCGATCTTGCAAGGCCTTCAATGCCAATGGATAAGAGTTCTCAGTAAACGGAAATCCTCTAATGCAGTCCTTCGCAGGGCCCGTTAAATGTTTTTCCAAAATTGCGAACTTTACAATAGCGTCATAGGGTTGTTTATCAACCACGGCCTTGAACGTCTGAAAGAATCGAAGCCAATTTTCTTTCTTTCCATCAAATGTACCCAGTGGTATTGTCTTTTCCCCAAGGACTAACGGTGTGCTCCACGTCGAAATTTCGTTTGAATTGCTTACGGTCGTAAACTTCTTGTGAGTCTTGTTACAATCACTCGAGTAAACTGGAAGCTCGACGTTAACTTTGTCGGGCGAGCTGCTTTTCTTTGCTTTCAGTGACTGGTCTGCAACAGACTGAGGATTTGATGAATTCTTTGAGCTTGATGAACTTGATTTCGCAATACTGCACGATTCTAAATCACGTTCTGCTTGACGAATTTCCAATTCCCGACGAATTTGCATTTCACGCTTCAATGTTTTAAACTTTAAGTGTTGTAGTTTTTCTTCATAGTGGTGGCGTTCTTTAACTTCGTCTAACCTCTTTCTTGATCGATGTTCTTGTTCTTTACTCAGATGCGTATAGGTAGATTTCTTTCTCGACGATACACGAGAACGGGCAGAGATAGAGAGCAAACATTTCTCTTCTTGTGAATCCCGACGTTGAGACTCTGATTCTTTCTGCTGTGCTAAAATGTACTGTTCTGCCTTCAATTTACAGTTCGCGATTTTCTCTTCAATCTCAACTAGTTTATCTGTCGCCAAATCAATCTCTATCTCATCTACTTCGCTAGTCAAAACAGCAATATACTCGTCATGGCGCTTTACAAAGCCACTGAACGCTTCATTAAGTGAGTTAATAACTCTATCAAGTTCTCTGATACTGCCTGAGGTTTCGATTAACTTGTATATATTGTTCAACAGTTTGGTAACATGAGACATCTTACCTCTTCTGCTGGCTTTCTTCGCTTGAATGTTCAACAATTCCGCTGAAGGAACTTCTTTATTTAATCCGTAACACTGTTCGGAATTCAACATGTCGTGTTCGCCACCCAGACCATAATCACTCGCAAATTCCTTTGAACCTTCTATACTCATCACAACGCCAACGGTTCCCGGGTTTCGGCACCAATTTGTTTTGACTTTATATATTTAACTTCATATACTTTATTTCATATAATATTACTTCAAGTTTGACTTCAAGTTCTTCACGATTTTCATAAATAACTAACTAACTATAGTTCGCTTAGCAAAGTCCGTATTTATAGTTGCATAACACCCACACATTAGCACACTATTTACATAAATGCAAAATCATTCAATCGTATAAACAGAGGGTGCGTTTGAATGTTTTGGTTTGAGTGTAATTAAGTCTTTTATGCCTCTCCAAATAGCTTTAACATCTTTACTATGTTTTATAAAATAACTATTAAAATATTTCTCCTTACTAACTCTTAATAGATTAGTTAATTTATTTCTGTATAATTTATAAGTATGGCTGTAATCAGGGCTTTTATTATTTAGGTATTTTTTAAATAACTTATTCTTAGTTTTAATAGAAATCTTAATACCAGGTGTAATCCAAGGTTTAGAATAAAACTTAATTTGTTTTTTGCTAAGCTTCTTAACAGGGACATGCTTGTCTATAATATCTGTAATTGTAGAATAAAACCTGTAAAAAATAATATTAACATCACAGTCATGAGGGAAAATAGTTTCCCAATTGACAGACTGTATTTCATCAATTAAAGCGGTCTCATCTAAATTTGAATAATCTCTTTTATAAATTTTGAAATTTTTTGCCAATGCATTTAGTTGATTAATAATAAGAAAGTTGGGAAGATGATCAGATATATCAGAAAGTATATTGCCGCTTATAGTATGATACTTAATAGAATTTAAAAATATATTGTCAATAAGTGTTGCTGTGTGATTTGTTATTCGTGTGGGTTTATGAATATGTGGAGTATAAAAATAAGAGCTCAAAGTGTTTACAAAATCCTCAGTCGGAGTATGGGCAGAATAGTTGAGAAGATTTATGTTAACAGAAAGTGTATCATAATTAGCTGCTAGACTTCTTATATTGCCATGCATGAATGAAATTGAATTGTTCATTTTTAAATTCTGAATTTCTAAACAAGTTTGAAATTCCCGAGTAGAATAGTAATCAAAATGAGTACGAATTGGTAATTGAGAATCAATATCTGCGTCCGAAAGGCGTGGAGTGCGATCAAAAGTTGATAAGATATCTAAATGGGGTAGAGATTCAAGTCTTGAGTCCTTGCCATTAGGATAATCTGTATATTTAAAGGTAGACAAGCTTTCGATACCGTCAACAATCTCCTCGGGTGTAATGTAGTTAGTCATTTGGTGCTACTATGAGGATTGGGATTCTTAGCATTATCATAACAATTTTTAAATAAAAGCGGAAAACACACACATAAAATTGCAGAACAAACAAACACAAGGTATAGCTAAACATTACGAATAACTTGTAAGTATACCAAGCCAGACAGAATCTGTAAAAAGGTGTAGTAACTTCACTTCAAAGTAAAGTCAAAATAGTCACTTCAATTAGTAAAGTCAAAAAAGAAACGAACACGACAATTTACCCTGCCACAAGCAATCAAGAAAAAAGACATTTAGGTATATATATATTACGAAATCTGAGTTTGTTCAAAGTATAACGTAAATTCTTATGAGCATAAATTCAGCCATAATTATTTATATCAACTATGTACGTATATTTTACTTATGACTTATGAAGTTTCAAAACGTTCAATCAAAACAGATTCACTGTCAATTAACGAGTGAAGATAACTTTGTCAAATCCTTATGGTTTTCAAGAAAAACTTTAGTTTGACTACCTGAGAGTAGGGCAATGACTTTACCATCTGCTTTCCATGCTGCTTTTACTCCAGGATGATTCGAGACTGTTGTGTACAATTCAAGGCGTTTCTTCGTCAAACTTTCTGTTATCCCGATGCCGGATGCCTTTAGATTACGCTTTCGGCTGAATACTTCAGATTTAGTATTGTGACGACTAAATTTTACAATAATAGGCTTTGGTCTTGAGTTAGCTATTTGCGGAGACTTCCTTCTCAGTCTGTGAGATCTATCTAAGTCCGACACTTGAATCTTCATCCCAAGTTTGTCGTTGACTATCTTAATTATTGCAGCATCTGTATTTTCGGTCACATCTTTTGGTGGTTCTGGAACGCCATGAAAAATTAAGCAATTCCTTCTCCCATATTGTTCCAAGTCGTCATGGGCCATTTGTAGATTGTCGTACGATTTCTTTAATTGTGCGCAATTATTTTCCAAATCAGTGATTTTTGCTCGAAGGTCGGTATTATCAAACGACAGACTTTCGTAAAGCTCTTGCTTTATTTTAGTTGTATGCTTTTCGTTTTGAGAAATCTTATCAGCTATTTTAGCAATAAAGCTTTCGTTCACACACATAGTGTCGATAATTGCGGACGATACAGCTTCAGCAATGCATTTAAGGATGTCGCCATCGCCTAGAATTAGTTCAGAAATTTGCTTTTTGATGTCGCCGTCTTTCTTGGTTTGTTTAGCGGACATTTCGATTGATTTAACAAAGCACAAAGATAATTTGAAATGACTCAATAAGTAGTTAAAGTTCTTGATTAATTTACTTCAGATTCGTATAGTATATAAGCTTGTGGCAGACGAGAATTGACGTTTTACTCGGAGCTCTGAAACACACAACCTATCGCCACCAAGATATGACTAAGGCGTTTGACAGGGTGAATCACGAAATTTTGATCAATAAACTTCGTCGCATAACTGGTTCCAATCGTACCTCCACCATCGCCGCCAGCAAGTCACCGTCCTTTGATCAACATCCTCCTCTTTACCAGTAACATCGGGTGTACCGCAGGGGTCCATCCTCGGACTTATTCTTTTTCTTCTTTGCGTCAATGATCTACCTGACGCAGTATCGTCATCAACAATAGCAACCTTCGCTGATGACACGAAAATTTTCAAGCCTATCGCGAGCAAGACTGCATGATAGCAACAAGCTACAAGAGGACCGACTTAAACACCTTAACGCTGTGGTCGACTTCCAACAACCTTGCATTTAACCCAACGAAATGCAAGGTTAAAACAATATCACGAAAACGCTCTAAGTTAACAACAAACAGCATCAAAAAAGTATAGTCACGAAGTGAACAATCTATCTCACTATCGTTCGTGCACATTTTGCATATTTCTCACCGTCTGGGCCCCTCAAACTGTGGACAACATCAAGAACATTTAACGACATTACGTACGTAGACAAAAAATCGTACCAAAAGTAATGAAAACAAGGAGGTCAACAAGATCCGGTAACAACACAGACGGCATCATTGTATTAGAGGAACAGCTATATCGAACATCTACATACGCTAGGTCGTACTTGGTAAAATGGAGACGAGTTTGGAATAAGCTAGCTACCAAACAAAATGCGCAGAGACTCCATCTCTTTGGCTACGTTTAAAACTTTACTTATTATAAGCAATATTACAGTAACCCCCTGAACTTGTGTTATGACCGCACTGAGGATGCGAGGACATGGAAGGCAGCCCACGTTAAGTGTAATACTGCCTTGTAACCTCTTGACCGCTCCTTCTTGTTTTTAATGTTTTTGTTGAATACGTTTGTCTTAATGTTTGTTGTATGCCTGTCAGTTGTATAATTGTTGTTTTGTGCAATGTCCATACACTTATTGTGTTGTATTTCTGTATTTAAACCATGTCTAGTGTACGCGGGAGCACTTCGGAGGGTCTTTGCGTTGTTTACTATAGTTGAAAAAGTCTAACTTTATATCAGCACAAACGTTTTTGCAACGTTTCCGGTCGTACATGGTCTTCATATATTTATCATAGATTTATTTATCATGTATTGGTTTCCTATTAGGAAATAGTACAACTATACAATGCCTCGCCCGCGCCGCAGGCAGGGAACCATAACATTGGGCTGCCTATGGTATCAATTAAGAATCAGTCTACTCTCGTTCATTCTTTTCGCAACAGTTTTGCGATGTTGGGCGTGACTCGCTAAATTGACGTACAAAATAACTTTCTAACATTTACTGTACCTGAATTTATTACTTTTCAGAGAAACCAAATGTCATAATAAGTTGTCCCAGTTCTATCATACTAAATGAAGGTGATGACTTTACATGTGTATGTAGAGGTGAAGGTGGAAACCCTCCAGCCAATGTAACTTGGTATAAAGATGGCGACCCCATTGGTGTAACAGAAAACGAAGAACAAACATTAACTCTCAGGAATGTTGATGGAACAGACACTGGAACATACAAGTGTGTGGCCCAAAGTCACACCCTAACCGAAGAAAAATTAGTCGAATTAGAAGTTAATTGTAAGTATTATTGTAAATACATGTGTGTTTTGATTTGATTTAATGATTACTGACTTTGGTGAAAAATTAGTCGAAGTAAAAGTAATACTTGATTGTAAGTATTGTGGTAAAAATATGCGTGTTTGCATGTAAATGTTTAAACTGCGTGGCGTATGCGCGTATACAAATTTAGAAATTGTATAAAAAGGACATGCATGTTTGAACTAGTGCTGCGTTAATGTTAATAAAGACGACAATGGAATAATCACGTGCATAGCTCAGAGTTACACTTTAAGGTAATTTGCAGTAATTGTTCCCGAAATGAGAATGTGCTGAAACTTCCCTGCGGCATGGAGTTTATGATATACTTAATTAAAGTAAAATCACACAAAAAAGTCGGGGTCACCGAACTCGTTAAGAAGATATGACAATCACAATATACCATCTTTACCCCCAATATGGCGCCATCTTGACGCTCATTACGAGTAACAGCAAAATCACAACAGCCCGATATTTATTGACGTTTTTTGCGCGGATTTTGCTTTAATAAACCTATCTTGTAATTAGTTTTGAAAAAATATTGTGTTTTGAGCAAAATGAAACTACTAACGTGTATAATTCTGAACCACAAGTGTCTTTTCCACATTTCTTTACATATCGTTCTTTGAGAACATGCATTGGTAAAGATTTTTTTCAAGATCCAGAAAAGATTTTTCTTTTAATTTCGGATATGAAATGTAAAATGCATTAAAGAAATAAATTATCAGTTAAAAAATGGGGGTCACCGATCTTTTTAGGGAATTGTGGCATTGAAAACGTGAAATACAAGTAAATAAATATACTGCAGACACAGGGAACCCTAGCTACACTTTTGTATGCCTTTTTTGAAAACATTGATTTTAACGTATTATTCTTTGCACGAATGTAACCAAAGATGTTTTGAAGTAACATAAAAGTGTCATAAAATTATTTTTTTGTTAAGCGGTACGTATAATGGATGAAATTATAAGTTATAAGATGTGCGCACTAAAAGTGCGCAATGCAAAACTGCGGAATTACCTTAAAGGATGAAATGTGAATTGAAGCAAAAGTAAGACTTAATTGTATGATTTATAATCTCAAGTCAAGCATTACTCGAGCCAGCAGTAATTGGCAACAAGCTGTTGCGGTGATCCGGCTACACTAAAGTTTTCGAAAAGTGTACCTCCTTCGTCCTCCCCATGTAAAGTCGTATAAATCGCATGAGGCATACGCAAAAACTGCAAAATGTATACAGTATGTTGAATCCGTCCTTCGTTGTGTGACCGTTTAACCGGCTGTGCCATATTTGCGATACATATAGCTAACGATTCAGATAAATGATAGTCTCCCTCTCATCCTGTTCGCGGGTATTCCCAACAGACTGCGAGGGAGACTAGATAAATGATTGTATCCAATGATAGCATGCATTAACTTTCTGATGTTACTGAAGTGACGACATGTTCAAAATGAAAGTAGGCTACATACTAATTATATATTGTACTTATAGGATCTGACTGGAAACAGTTGTGCATAAAAAATGCTACAATAGCATATCGCTTAAGCCGGTTTTCCGCTAGCGAATTTTTTCGCGCGAAGCTAAGTTCTTTTGTCAGCATCCATTTTGCCATGACGTCTTGCGCTCATTACGAGTAACAGCAAAATCACAACAGCCCGATATTTATTGACGTTTTTTGCGCGGATTTTGCTTTAATAAACCTATCTTGTAATTAGTTTTGAAAAAATATTGTGTTTTGAGCAAAATGAAACTACTAACGTGTATAATTCGGAACCACAAGTGTCTTTCGCTAGTGGAAAACCAGCTTTAAGCCTGTTTTAACGTCGAATTTTGGTCGAATCGAATGCAATTAAGACAATATAGATGAGATGATAAACCTCATTAAGCTTCATTTATGGAATTGCATTCGACGCGACCGAAATCCGACGTAAAAAAACAGGCCTTATCGAGATTTTGATAAATCGGGATATAACAATAACTGTTTTTATTTTATACATTGCATTTTTGTAAAGTTGTGCATTGTCTTATTGCTATCGATAATATAAACTATGATTTGTCGCACAAAACAACGTTTAGTTCTCAATATCACCGCAGTAATGCAGTATATCTGCTAAAGTTTCGTTGACTCAAATATTAAAAAGTTTGCTTTTTGTACAAAACGGATTCTCGAAATCGCCGTTTATTTATACAAAATTATAGAAGATAATTCATCTTGGATATATATTTAATAAAGACAATAAATTTGCTCAATGTGTTATATGTTTTGAAAGTTGGTCAAGTGACTCTGCCAATGTGAAAGTGAAATTCCAAGCCCGTGTAAATCTCGATATCTCATTGGCTGGCAGAAAAATTTAGTTATCTCGTTTACATTTCAATTTGTACGTTTAAATTTTAAATATCAATACAGTATGCTCTCTGGCAAAAACATCACGGCCGCTCTAAAAATATTTACCCGATAAAAATAGTACCAAAAAATAACGGTAAATGTTCTACAATCGCCGATTATTGACTGGTGACCAGTCGTTATTAGTAGCGCTGCAATAGACCCATTGCACTGACGTCACAAATCTTCAGAGTGTCCTCCAGATGCTCCCTAACAGCGCAAAATTAACCATTTTAATACAAAGTTTTACAAAATTTGCTTTGTTTACAAAAGTTATATTATTGCTAATTTATCCTCCAGATGCATCATCACCGGCGCTATGACGTCATGTGCATTGAGTCTATAGGCTTGAAATGGACCCTGCATATAATTCCTTTTCGACTCTCTGTGAGCTAGCCACAGATGTCTTGTCTCGGTTAGAACATTTGCAATAAATCTTCAACATTCACATTGTGTTCTATGTGATGCCAAAATTACGCATCTCATCATGCCCCCGTATTAGATGACGCGTCGCTTCTATATGGACTTCTGAGTAAGACCACAGAAAAATGTATTTCCAGTATACGATTTTGAGGTATATATATATATATATTTATATATATATATATATATATATATATATATATATATATATATATATATATATATATATATATATATATATATATATATATATGTATATATATATATATATATTACTCTATGGCCTTTGTGTCATATTGAGCACTCTACAGGATGAGCCATTGCTGCTTACGCATTGTGCGCATGCTCACTGCTTGCAGTTTGAGCACTCTGGCAATGGTTTGATGCCCCACATTCGTGAGACATCAAAGGTAACTATTAATAGTGGTTACTTTCATCCTGCTCATCAGCACTACACTGATGAGGCCCAAAAGGCCGAAACGGTACCGTCTGTGAGTTAGATATTGCTCTATGGCCTTTGTGTCATATTGAGCACTCTACAGGATGAGCCATT